AATCGGGACCCTCTGTCAATCGGGGACCTTATTGTCCTCTATTGTTTTAATAGGGTCCCCAATTGAATGCAGAAACAAACTCCACCCAACCATCAAACTCACTTTGGATCACTCTGACAAGCAGGTCCATTTTCTGGTCACCGTCATCAAGTTCAATGGCAACCACCTCGAATCCACTGTCTACAGAAAACCCACGGATTGTAATAGCTACCTACATGCCTGGAGTTTTCACCCACCTCATACCACCAGATCTATAGTTTACAGCCAGGCCCTGCGATACAACCGGATTTGCTCTGACCCAACGGATAGAGATAACCACCTAGCACAACTGCAAAAATCGTTCTTGGATTTGAATTACAGCCCAGAGCAGTTGCAGAACAAATCACCAAAGCCAAATCCAAACCCCGAGATGAGCTACTCCAGTACAAACCATGTAACAGCCCAGACAGGATCCCCCTTGTTGCCACGTACAGCCCTGCACTCAAACCCCTGCTACGCATAATTAATGAACTGAACCCCATACTTCAAGATGACACCCTGTAGCAAATCTTCAAGAATAAACCAATCGTTGCCTACAAACAACCTCCCAATCTTCAAGCCCATCTGGTCAGCAGTTCCCTCACCCCACCAGCCAACAATGGTACCACCCCTCGCAACAGCCCCAGATGTCAACTTTGCCCCACATAAGTACCAACATGGATATCATTGGGCCCACAGTGCCACATTCTCCATCAAGGGATCATTTGACTGCGCGTCTACCAATATTATCTATGCTATAACCTGCAAACTTTGCCCCACTGCCGTCTACACTGGACAAACTGGACAATCCCTAAGGCAACACATAAATAGCCACAAGTTTGATATCAGGAACAGAAAAACCTGTTGCTGAACACTTCAACCTCCCAGGCCACTAAGTTAGCCAATTAACAGTTGCAGTATTACAACAAAGGGCATTCAAGGACAGGATGCTGAGAGAAGCAACTGAACAAAAGATCATCAATAAACTGGACTGCATCAATGGAGGGCTTAACAGGGACTGTGGCTTTCTGTCACACTACAGCAGTGACTCATCACCTCTTGTCTACCACTATGTGGTAGTGGCAGAGCGTCATGCCATACAGAGCCTCAAAACCAACCCGAGTATCGTCATCAAGCCGGCAGACAAAGGGTGAGCAACTGTGGTAATGAACAAGGCTGACTACATCACCGAAGCCAAGCTGGCATCAGTCATATGGGCTGTTAGGCCCCAAAACATACATCAAACAAACAAAGGACTCCCAGGTCCGATGAACATGTACGGCTTACAGGCCAATCATTAACGAATGGGCCCCCAGGACCCAGGAATAATCATGAAATAATAGAATGACCCATCCAACCTTGTAGGGTCAACGCTGGTTGTGCTATGGAACATACAGCACCCCACCCCCTTGGGTACATACGTGGGTGTGGCTGACCCTTCACAAATTACAGTGTGTTATGGCAAACATCAATGTCAACAATAATTCCATTGGTACAATGTATCATAACAGTAAAGATACATGTCACATCTTGTACATGTATGTATTACGAAGTGGCTATCCCCGAATCCTGTTAAAAAAACTAAAACCAAATAACCCTCAAAAAGGCAGGTGCTGGGGTGGTGGTGGGCAAATTGACCCTGCTTGCCCAACAAGCTGTGACAGAATGATCCTCACAATGAGAATTTCCCTTCTAAACTAGCATTGCCTGACAGAAGTAATCTGACCCCTTGCTTGATTGGCCAAAACAATGGACTGTGATTGGCTACTAGTTAGTGCACGATAACTCTGATTGGCTTAATTTGTGAAGAATTAGTGCTAGAATTCTCTTCAGAATCCATCTTTTGTGAAAACTTCAATTTTCTGACTGACATACATGTAACTGCAAGAAAAGGGGGGCAGTTGAATGTAAACTGGTGCAGATTTGTGGGGATCTGTGGCATCTTTCTGGAACCATGTATATACATGCAAGGCAGTGCAGATTTTACAGCATTCTTCCTCTAACCATGAAAAGCTACATACACATGGTTGTGATCCCACTTTATGCATAAAGAGTTGGGCTGAGTGCAAAATGTATAACATCTGTCAGGGAGTGTGTCAGCTATCTAGGGCAGTGCACGTAGGACTATGTGCTTATATCTAATACAGTAAAATTCTTCAAACCATGCAAAGCAACAGATCCGTGTTCTACCAATTATAACGGGTTCCGTCAGAATACATGCATTGTGACAGAACCTCTTACCCTCGTAAATAATCTAAGACTGAGGTTTAAAGCAGGGATGCTGCCTTTCTGAATTTCCATTCACACCATCTCTTATTTGTTTCTTTGTAGATTTGTCTTTCATTTCTCCAGGGAACTCTTATGGCGGCTTGGGCCATTGCAGCCTTAAAGTTCAGATTTTTCCTTGGGCATTCTTTCTCTACCCAAGTCTTTCCATTGAAGACGCTCCCTCTGTGGAAATTTGATCTTGCCAGTTCCTCTGTAGGAAACACCTTGCCTACTAGTTTGATTACAAAGTCCTTTGCATTTGACAATTTTCTGTACTCCTCGTCGAAGTTGTCGCCTTTCATTATCAAATTGTGGTCAGTGGAACATATGAGAGTCTTCCCCTCTTCTAAGTGAACGATATGAACATTCTTGGGGGTGGCTTCATTCGACAGTTTTTTATGACTCCAAAGTTAATGA